TTTTTAAACGATAGACAAACAAAATTTGTTAAAAGTTATCTAGACGAAAAAAAAAAAGCACCTTAGTTGAACGTACTCAGAAGAAACATGTCGCTTCTTCCTTTTCTTTTTTACGTGTGTGCAGGTCTTCAAATCTCAGTTTCTGCTGCTGTCCATTGACATGTTAGTTTAAGAAAACGTAGCAGGGAGGAAACATTGTATCGTCTTTGTTAGGCGCTTCTCCAAGTAAAACTTAAAAAGGCGCTGTGTATTATAATATACAGATATTGAGGCACAGAGAAATTGGAACAATTTAATAATTAATACATTTTCTGTTGCTGATCGGAACAAAAATAAGGCTAAAACTGCGACGACCCCAGTTTTACTAGGACATGTGGTAACCCTAATTAGGGTGCATATATCTCATTAGGATCATGAATAGTTGATCTTGCTTCACTAAGGTAATGGTAATTTTACATATTTATTTTTTCATAATGAAGATATGTCACGTTTTATTAGGATGAAGGTAGGCCTTACGTTACTAGAATGATACTTAACCAGAATATTTCAGTCGTTATATTATGCCTATTTCTGCTCGCTATATTAAAGCTTGACTGCATGCAATGCGAAAGTGTATTAAATCGGAACAAATAGCCTTAATGTATTATTGGCGAAACCAAGAGAAAACGAGCTTAAATTTTCATTTTGGGCACATTCCAAAATTCAACGCTAACATTAAACTTTGGTACGCTCTTTTCCTAACTTCAACGTTTGTGATCGTTGACTTCCGGTGTTGTTTCAACGTTGGCTCAACACATTCAACAGCCTGAAACAAAGAGAAGTAAGATTGAAAAATGCAATATCGAAGCTTCTATGACGGGTGTGTTACTGTGACAGCTTGTGGATTCACAGCTATTTTTTCTTTTAAATATAAAATCACTGTGAAAACAATGTTGAAATAAGAAACAAATGTATTTAATCTAGTAACGTTTCGAGCAAACAGCGATTTTTAGGCTTAATAGAAATTTAGCCTGATGAGGTGTAGTTGTTCAAATAATGCTAAATGAAATAAATTAATTTATATTTTAAACATTGTGTTTTTACAGTGATTTTATTGCATTTATTTCCCAATGTTGTGCTAATTCCAAATCTTCTGAAAACTGTTTTCTTTTTTTTTTGCCTGTCGTCTATCTTAGAAATGCCAACAAAACAAAACGTTCCAGATATACAGTAAGCGTTGAACGAACGCTGAGTGTTATCGTTGACCAACCATTATTTAAACAATAATATGAGAAATCAACACTGGATGTTGTGATTGCGCAAAATTCACAGTTTTTTAAATTTTCATTGGTCACCTTTTACAGAAGGCAGTTGACGCGTTATTGTTAATTGTTTTCCACCGATCATAGTGAGTTATAGGGTGCTGAATTATTCGAGTTAGGACGGTGATTAGCACAACGTCTAAAAGAGGCATATAGACCAATTTTGGGAGCGTTGTGGCTCTTCTGAAACTGCGGGCAGGCACATTCTTCAGTATTATTTAATATATTATTTCTGCTAAAATGAAAATGCCGTACAATTTTACACGACATTCAAGAATATAACTACACAATCTGATTAATTTAGTAGGCTTAACTTTCTTAATAGTTATGTATTAATGTCGTACGTGGAGAATGTTGCCACCCATGATGACAACAGAATGAAAATCGGAGTTGCAGTTACCTGTGCTCTCCGGAAATATTTAAGAAACGTTAATTTATTTGCTTAAGAAAATGTAAATATTCATGAAATATTATTTATTTTCGAAGGATATACGATCTACTACTCGATCGATACGCCAGAGTCCCCTAGCGACTGGAAAGTGAAAGCTACTTTTGGGAACAACACTTTTACGAACATTCCTGTACCGGAACTTGTGACATCTAATAGCAAGTATAATTTTCGGTTACAAGCAAAGGGAAGAAGTGGAACCGGACCTGTTTCAGAAGAATTTTCTTTTGATGTCTCGGAACGTATGTTGAAATTTGTTAACTACTAAACAGTTTGATTGTTATTTAAGACTCGTAACGTAGGTAAATTAATATCTCGAATTATACACGTACTTTTCTCTACGTTAAAATATTTTTATTTGCGAGCTTTCGGCCATCTTACCGGAGCCTTCACCGGGCAACAGTGTAGAAAAGTCCATGTATAATTCTATATCCTAAAAAATTTTTATGGATTGAACTAGCTTTCTGTCTGATTTGGAGATGGTGTTTCGGTCTCTGTGCTGAATCCTTTATTGTAAGGTATAATAAAATAAAATAAAAATCGTGGCAGGTATTTAGTTTTAAAGGAAATATCTTACACTTTCCTAAACTGGGGTGTTCACGGAGATTGTTATCCCCTTCGCCTCGCTCGCGTAAAGGTAGAATTTTGGTAAGGTCGTGGGTTAAAAGTAATTTTAGAGATAGTTGGTATTTACTGGCAGAGAGATTTGGCAGATGTCCGGTGAATCGTTTGGCAGAGAGAAGACCAAGGCTGGTGACGACGGTGATGATGACAACGTTGAGAAGAAGCACGACGACAGCGTTCGACAAAGTATATCTGAATCAACGCCCTGTTAACATGGTTACCTAGAGGCTGGGATCTGTAGATCCAATGCCGGAATAAGAAAATTTAAGAGTGCCGGGAAATTTATTGTGGGGGAGGGGACGACAGATACGGAGAAAACCCACTTTCACAGGACAGGTGTTGTAAGGTATCAAGTTTGAGCGTTCTATTTCTGATCCGTAGCGCGGTCCTGAAAGAAAACTCAAAGAAT